TCTTGGCTAAAAGTTGGCTTTAAAATATTAGCATGTTTTTGTTATGAGACAAATAATGTATAGATGTTGCATTAGCACTAATCGATGGCTTATTTGACTTGTAATCATATGCCCATCTATATGTACAAAAAAAAAATCATATGCATATCTATGATTAATATTAATATATCGATCCAAATTCAAAACTCAATAAATTTTTAAGTTAAAATTATTTGTAGTGTTTTGAAATATAATCTGAAAGAATATTTATGAAAAAAAAGTATTAATAAAGTAAGAAAATCTTATTCAAAAGTATGTATTAATGAAGTATTAATAAACTATAATTTATTTTACAGAATGTCATGAAATAGTCATACCTTCATATGTGAATAACTATTCTATCTGATATTGGGTTTTGTGTGGATCAACTTTAGGTTAGTAAATATCTCTAGTAACGTATTTGCTCTATTTTGTAAATAAATTATTTTTTAAATTTTAAATTCACATTAATTAGTAAGAGGATTAAAACTAAATATTAATAATACATTCCAAGAAATTTCTTTTTTTAATTATTTATTTTCTCTCCCTGATGTTTAAAAATCTATTTCATCAAAATAACAACTGACTAATCTTACTACAAATAAATCTTTTGATAATGATTTTAGATATTTAATTATAAATGATGATTTGTATCAAACATATATTCCTAATCTCCTTTGAAAACTCATCTTTGTACATTGTGATGGAGCATTTGAGACATACACTATGTATCCAAAAATTTTTAGATGAGAAATATTTAGTTCTTAACCATAAACCAATTATTTAGAGAAGAATTTACGATAATTTATTAGCCTGATGCGTACAAGAACTGTTACCATGGTATGCCCCATGCTACAATTAGTTGGAAATGTTTAATACACAATTTTGTTGGACCATTTTGTATATGAACATGAGCAATAGATTGTTCAACCATTTTTTCAACTAATATGCAATATTCATTAAAGGTTTGAGATGTAAATTCATTAGTATCATCAAGAGAATAGTCTTGATTACATAATTAGGAAACTATGTTTGCAAATAAATGATTTGGACAAATAATATTGCTAATGTCAAAAAACAAGTTAATAATAAGTACACGTGTGACCATCTAGTTAATACATTGATTAAAATCATAAAATATTTAAATTGTTTACATAGTGGATGTATGAGTCCACAAATATCACTCTAAATACGTTTAAAAAATATAAAAAATTCAATCTCAAGTTTAATTGGTGATAATCTTATAATTAATTTATTGTGAGAGCAAGAAACACATGAGAATTCTTTATATTAAAAAGTCTTTTAGTTTTTCAATAGATGATTACATGAATTTTTAATAATTTTTTACATTATTATTGATCCGAGGTAGTTTAACCAATTATGCCAAATATTAAAATCATTAGTAAACTTTTAGTTTATTATAACATGAATTTCAATCATTCTAATATTTGTGTGGTACAATCTTGATGAATATTCATATTTTTCTTTTAAAAAATAAGATACATATATAATAAAAAACTTATAAGTTAATATAAGATAACATTATATATATAATTTACTATTAAAATATATATTAAAAATATATCATTTAAATATAATGAGAACATATAAAAACATCTTCATGATGAAATTATATTAAAACATACTAACAAATTATTTAAAAAATTTCATTCTTATATATTTTAATCACCAATCACATGATCAATTCTTCCTTTAGGGTGGATAAAAAAACAACAACATCTAGATATGTAATTTCAACTTGGTTATGATTAAAATCATTTTGGACAAATTTGTTTTGATATTTTTTTTTTTAGCTTTCAATAATGCTTGATAAAGTTCAACAAGATATTTCAACGTATCACAGATACGTAATCAATGACCTTTTATTCCACATCGATGATGATAGACATTTTCTATATTTCTTTTATTTTGTCCACTTTTGTTTTTTTCTTATATCTCTTCATTATCTATCTATTTTTAGTGAATAAAAGTATTTATTCACTTTTAGTGGGTAAAGATATTTATCCACTTTTGGTGAGTAAAGATATCTATTTACTTCTGATGGGTCCATTTTTTATGAATAAAAGTATCCATTTATTTTTGGTGGATAAAGATATCCATCTACCTTTGGTAGGTAAAGGTATCCATCCACTTCTGGTGGATAAAAGTATCCATCTACTTCTGATGGATAAAAGTATCCATCTACTTCTGATGGATAAAGATATCCATCTACTTCTGGTAGGTAAAAATATCCATCCACCTTTGGTAGGTAAAGGTATCCATCTACTTCTGTTAGATAAAAGTATCTATCCATTTCTGATGTATTTTTAGAATAATGATTAGTGTAACCATCAATTATTGTGGCAACTTCTTTCATGCTTATAACCATAATTATTAAATTGTATTGCATTTACTTATAGAAATAGATGAAGTTAATGATTTTTTATTAATAACTCGTTATTTTGCTTAATCACAAAAAACATGAAAATTAAAACAAAATATATTTCAGATTATTCAAAGTATAGTATTTTTCATATGTTAAAAAAATAGATATCATACACAATCAATTTTATAAGTTCAATTCAAAATGTGTTATACAAAATATTATGATATCAAAAATAGATTTACGTATGTTGAGAAAATTATGATTGAAATTCAACAAAAGAATAAATATTGAGAAAATAATATTTTAAAACTAGAACAAATATATTATATATAAATATATATATTTTCATGCTTAACATGATTTAATAAATTAAGAAACAAAATATGATAAACACTACATGATAATAAAATTTACATTAAGGTTGAGTTTTAAAAAATGAAAACATCAAAGAGATATCAAGTCACTTACCTAATTTACTAAAACAAAAAATCAAAAACCAAAGATTAAAATTTTTTTAAAGCTTGAAAAAATGAAACTTTGACTTTGAGATGATGATGATATATATCAAAACTTAAGAAATTAGAAAATCAAACTGATAACATGTTGTAATATATAACCTAAAAGGACATCTATGAGAGAAAAGTATTAATAAAAGAAAAATATTTTATTAAAATATATGTATTTACAAATAAACTAAGAAGTCTATTTATAGGTTAATTACCTTTATCAAAATAGAATTTACAAGATAAATATAATGTTATGAGATTTGAGTTGAGTTGATTAAGTCTAAATTTTAATCCAATCCAATCAAATTACATTTTTATGTTTGTCTTGCTAAGTTACTTGGCCCGTGTCAGTTATGTGATCTGAATTTACATATATATTTAAATTTGATCAAAATTAAAAGTGTAATTTTTTTAAAAAATAAATAAATCCAAGAAAATGCAAATATTACGTATTTTTTTATTTTTTTAAAGAAAACGTGTCTTTCATGAAATAAGTCGATAATAAATAAACAAAAAAATTAATTTAAGTCATTTATCAAAACATATAGATTACATGATACCTAACAAATTGACAAAATAAAAAGAGTACGTGGGCCATTTTTTTTACAATAGTGCTAATCATACACTTTTTCCATGGAAAACAAGTCAAATTCTACTTTAAGTTTGTTTATTTTCAAGCACTTATCTCTATGCATAGTTTGCTACAGAGTAGGAAAATGGAGGGGGAAAGCATGGAGGAAGGGCTGTTAACAGGGTATCTACCAAATGAAGCAAACCCTTCTAGCAATGGAACCGACAACCTTGCCATGCCATTGCCACCATCGACAGCTTCCTCGCTCACGCCTGTTCTTGTCTTCAGCACGTTTGTTGCTGTCTGTGGCTCTTTCTGTTATGGCTGTGCTGTAAGTTCTTCTTCTTCTTCATTCTGTAAGGTTTTTTTCCTTTTTCCAAAAATAAGAGTAGCATCAGTTTGATGAAGTATTCTAAATTTGGAAATGTTTTAAGCTGTGTTTTCAGTTTTATTTTCATTTGGAAATTGAAAACCATTGAAACATTTACATTACAGAAAAAAAGTTTAAAGTCAAACCTTTTTACTTATTATATATATCTATATATACATACATATATATATATATATATATGTATGTATTATATTATTATGAGCCAAATATATGAACATTCAATGTCAAAGAGAAAGTGCTAAAAAGAAGCAATTTCATAATTTAGACCATGCTATTGCTTTACTCTACCAACTACTTAAAAATGTGAATTAACTTCTTTGCTGGATAATACATATATTTTAGTTATTGAAATGTACACTTTGTTAGTATTAACCGATTTGATTTTGAGATTATGAACTACATATATATATATTTTAAAAATTAAGATTATGAACTATATATAGATACTATATATTGCATTTAGGACTCCTTTTTGATATATTTGATCGGTCTTTTGTGACTAGGTTTCATTTTGCCTTGAACTTAAAGATATGAATCTACCCAAAATTCCACATAAAGTTCTAAGTGAGAAGACTATGATTTAAGACTTAGATGTAACCATTTTGATTATGCATTTTATCACTTATGGTTTGAGTTGAAGCAATAATTGGAATGTTAGCTGTAGGAAAAATTAAAATGTGATAGAAGGGTTTGGTGTGCGATCCAATAATTTGGATAGCCAGAGCATGGAACACGAATCCCAAGAATGGGTTCTTGTCTTTTCCAACAAGTTTTTGGTAGAATCTAACAGTCAAAACAAACTTTGTTCCAACTTCTTACTGTGAAAGATGATGTCGGGTAGTTGTTGGGTTACAATGAAACAATATTTGAGCAAGGCCAACCACATATGATCTGTTCACAAGCCCAAAAAGATGAAGAATCGAGATAACTTTGATTATATTTGGCAACTATGATTGAATTGATATAAAAAACTAATTATGCTTTATTGACACCAGCTTGGTTATTCATCACCCGCGGAGTTTGGGATCATGGAAGATTTGGGCCTCTCTGTGGCAGCAGTTAGTACACCCCCAATCTTTTCTTTCTGTCTTTTTTTTTTTCTTTGGAAAGAGCAAATTCATGTATCAAGCTTCAACTTGCTTACAACACAAGCAAGATTAAGCTCAAGTTCAGTTTGTAATCTTTTTTAACAATTGGATGTGCTGCAAAAAAATATTCATGATGGCAACACCATCAATCTGCAGTACTCCGTTTTTGGTTCAATCATGACAGTCGGAGGAATGGTGGGTGCAATTTTAAGTGGGAGGCTAGCAGATCTTATTGGTCGTAGACGTGTAAGTGTTTTTATTTTTGGTGATATCATAAGATTTCAACTTGAAGTGAATGCATAATGGTTCATTCCTCTGTGTTGATGGTTTGAGACAGACAATGTGGTTCTCTGAAGTATTCTGCACTGCCGGTTGGCTTGCAATAGCATTTGGACAGGTTAGCTTCCACTTTGAATTCTTTCCTTCCCAAAGTTTGCACTATTTGATCGTAGAGTTTCTTGCAAAAATCTCCTGCTACATCCATTAGTGAGGCCCTAAGGTCTTGCTTATGAAACTTCTGGGTTCTAAAGTTCAATGTTTGCTCATTTGTAAGACGATCTTAAATAGTAAATGTTCAATTCTTGTTGGAAGAACGCTTTGTGGCTGGACATTGGGAGGCTGTTAATCGGATTTGGAGTCGCGATGCTTTCTTATGTGGTAATTGTACCGAGTTCAATCATATTTCATTAAAACCTACATGCAGTTTGTAAGTTACTTACACAATGAGATGTATGATGATACCTGAACTTTCCACAACAAGCAGGTACCTGTTTACATAGCAGAAATAACACCTAAAAGTCTCCGGGGTTCATTTGCATCAACAAATCAAGTAATACTAAACCTTTTTTAACAATATGATGTTTCAACATATCACTTAAGGATCTGTGTTTTCGCAAGCGTGCAGTTGATGACTACTTCTGGTTTTGCAATTGTATTTTTCATTGGGACCCTCATTTCATGGCGTGTCCTGGCTATGATCAGTATATCCTTATGCCCTTCTGTTTTTCTATTAACTTAAGCCAAAGGTAGTGTTCCTGTAGTTCTGTTTCTAACAAATTCTGTTTTCTTCAGGTGCTGTGCCCTGTGTAGCACAGATAATAGGCTTGTTTTTCATTCCAGAGTCCCCTAGATGGCTGGTTAGTCTGACTCATTTGTGTGGCCAATCGTAGCATGCTTTTTAAGTCCATAACATGATAGAGCCCTGATCTAAAAGAAATAATGCACTTTGTTCTTCATTTTTCTTTGAGTTGATGCAAAGTAATGCCCAAAAGATGACCGTTTCTACAGGCAAAATTTGGTAGAGAAAAAGAGTTTGAAGCTGCTTTGAAGCGACTTAGAGGAGAGGATGCTGATATTTCAGAAGAAGCAGCTGACATCATAGTAGCCTTTCAGCGTCATATCTTTTTTTTAATTATTCTTTTCATTTTCTGCTATAAAACCAAGTAACGACTTGGTTTTCTCATAATAAAAAGAAATGTTACATGCTTCCATTCTCTTGTAGGATTATATGGAAACTCTTCAGCAACACACAGAAGCTAGTTTCCTGGAATTGTTCCAGAGGAGATATGCTAATTCACTCATTGTGAGCTCAGAATAACAATAGATTAATAAACTGCAATCACCTTTTGTGACTTGCCTGACCATTCTATAATATATGATTTCTTGGAATTGGCAGGTTGGAGTTGGCCTAATGCTATTGCAACAACTCGGAGGAAACAGTGCAATGGTATATTATGCTGGCAGCATATTTGTAGATGCTGGTAAATTTAGTCCTTCTATGTTGGTTCCTATAATTATTTCAGTAGCAGTGACTTTCTTGTAAGCAATAAAATTTTAACGGTATTAGAAAAAAGTGACAAAGGAAATTCTTGTTTGCAACAGGTATATCAGGTACCATTGGAATTCAAGTCGTAGCTATTTTACAGGTACCTTCCTCTTTCAACTTGTAGTGAATGTCAAATTTTGCTTCAAACATTTCTGAGACACATCAACAAACTTTTTTTGCAGATTCCAGTAGCTATTTTAGGTTTATTTTTGATGGATAGATCTGGTAGACGACCACTTCTAATGGTTAGTATTGTAAAGCATTCATTCTAATGTAGTGAAACTGTTGAACAAGAAGTCAGAAATGTAGCATTCCAATTTAAGCAGGTATCTGCAAGTGGAGCGTGCTTCTCCTGCTTCCTTGTAGGACTGTCATTCTGCTTTAAGGTATAACAAGTTTAGATTATTTCTTCAAATCGATATGTTTTTTCTTTTCTAAATGTTTATAGTTTCTCTTTCTAAAAACTTTTCTGTTGTTTTATGTCAGGAACTCCCCCACCTGAAGGCACTTACTCCCATTCTAGGACTTACTGGCTTTGTGGTACTTCAGTCTAACCAAAAGATGTTTGTTTCCCTGTATATTCTTCTAACTTTGGCCAAACCATGTATAAATTGATCCATACTGCAAACCCAGGTTGCTGCTACAGCTTACACAATAGGTTTGGGAGGAATACCATGGATTATAATGTCTGAGGTATGTAACATTTCAGCATCGAATGGCTGCATCCTTGCTTACAATTATTACATACATGAATATAACATATCAAGGTTGTCCAATAGCTGGAGACAAGACATCCATTTGACTAAAACATAACCATAATCTTTGTCAGATATTCCCTATAAATGTCAAAGCTCAAGCTGGAAGCCTGGTGACTTTAGTCAATTGGTCCATTTCCTGGATTATGACTTACACTTTCAATTTCGTGATGGAATGGAGCTCAGCAGGTCATCCCTCTCTCCCTCTCTAACAGATCAGTAACCAAAACGACATGACTACTGAACTAAAATGTATTGGCAAACATCATTATTGCAGGAACATTCTTCTTTTTCGCTGGAGTTGGGGGCTTAACTGTTCTATTCGCTGCCAAGTTGGTTCCAGAGACGAAGGGAAGAACACTTGAGGAAATACAAGCATCACTTACTCCTTTTCTGTAATAAGCATAAGTTCACCAATATCTAAACACAATATACATATGGGAAATATACCCATGATAAGCTCTATTACTGGGGCAGTTAATAGGCCTCGGAAACCTGACCCCAACAGTTTTAGTAAAAAATCCATGTCTTTTTCATTAAAGCAATTCACTATTGAAAGAAACAGTGTGACCTCACAGCTATGGCTCACAAAAAGTCATGGTTTCCCTCTCCTCACGGCTATGTCTCACAAAAAGTCATAGTTTTCTTTTGGCATGACATCCTCTTTTACTTTTCATTGAAAGTTTCTCTTTGACGTTCGATGTGGGAAGCGAGGATCGTACACATTGCTAGCACTCAAAGTCTACTCTTATTCCAATTGTCATGGTTCAAACTAACTTTTGTGAGATATAATTTACTTTAGTATGATTTTACGTTTTTGTCTCGTAAAAGATACTTCAAAAGTTAAAATCGATGTAAATTTTTATATTTTTAATATCACTTTAGTACATAATTGATGTGAGATTTATGATTCTTTTTTTTAAGATCATAACATATTTCTTTATTTTTTGTTAAAAGTTTTTTTTTGATGTGGAATTTTGTAACTCAACCTGCTAAAAGTATTATTTTAATCATATAAAATTTATGTTCACGCAAAGACTGTGAGATTATGTGCTTGTTTCATGAGAAAGATATGTACAGAAAGACATTTGAGCAGCCCTCTAAGGATTATGGTGGAGTTATGCAACATATAATGTTGTGGGTTTTATTGATTATACTTAAAAGGGTAGGAATTTTGCTTTTTGTTTTGTTTTGGGTCATAAAATCTCTCACTCTTGATCTCGAGGAATTTTATGTTTCTCTGCAAGTCCTATTGGGACTTTGTTTTTTGTTATTCTCCTTTGTGAGAAATTATGAGCAATAATATTCCTGCCTTTAAAAAAAAAAAGGGAAACAAGGACGGACATTTGAGCAGCCCTCTGTTTAGCAGTAGAGATTAGTCTGGTATGAATCATTGGATAGCCTGTTAAATGACTCCTGTTGATTGGAAACAGAAATGTATTTAAGGGCAAAGACTGAGATATGGGAAGGTTTCTGTTCTTTTCAAATTACTATATATCTCATAAAACATGGGATTCTTGGTTCCCCAAGTGAACTGGTGGTTAAAATTAATTTTCTAGGGTGTACAACTTTAACAGATGAAGTAGCCTCTGTCCCCAAATAAAGAGAAGAAAGAACTTTGGCAGATGATAATCTACCTTTACTAATGCTAGTAAACTGGTAGTAGATGGGGTCTGTCACATCCTATTTTGTTGTATCAGCATAGTACTCCAACATGATAATTCATTTTGATTCAGTCAAGCTAGCAATATTAAGTTGCACATTGGAATAAGCAAAATGTACCTTCACATGTCATTTGGTGATGTTTCACTGGCCTAATTCCCTTTACAAATAAAACCAACCTCCCCCCATAAAACAAGAGCAAACAACAAAAAACTCTCCATGGCAACAATCAGACCTGGTCTTCAACAATCTGCCCAAAAGGCCCTACCAGGCTCGGCCAACCTAGCAAACTTGCTTCCAACAGGCACGGTCTTCGAGTTCCAAGCCCTGATAATTTCATTCTCCAACAATGGAAACTGTGAAATGGCTCACATGTGCATGACCTTAGCCTTAGGTGCAATTATACTATGTTCACTTACTTGCTCCTTATCTTCCTTCACTGACAGCTTCATCGGCGAAGACGGCAAGCTTTACTGCGGTGTTGCCACTTTGAATGGACATTACGTTTTCAACGATGAGTTAAGTACCATGATGGTCTTGACTTGGAGAACAAGCCGGAAGCCAAGGAAAGAAGTATAAACTGACGGCTGTAGACTTTGTTCATGCATGTTGCTCCTTAACTTTATGTTTAGTCATTGCTTGCAGCAGCTTCGACGTTCAAGGTTGTTTCCTTCCTGAACCGTGGCCAAATGTTGATGCACTCGTGGCAAATTTGCCATTAGCAGCTGGGATTTTGGCCAGCGGGTTGTTCATGCTTTTCCCAACCAAACGAAAAGGGATTGGGTACGCTGACAAGCCTGATCATGGCAAAGGAAAGGAAGAGCCTGATCATCATGGCAATAGAAAGGAAGAGTCTGGTCGTCATGGCCATGGAAAGGAGAGCCTGATCATCATGGCAATGGAGAGGAAGAGTGTTAGAAGTTATGGCTAACTCTCCTGCCATGCTTCATATTGGTCGAGCTTTTCTGCCTGTAGTGCTAGTCCACCAATGGACGGGTTCGGATCAGGTCATCTCAGCTTCTGGGTCTAATCTTTCAATGTATTATAATCTTTATTTTTATTTTTTGACCTTTTCATATTATTTTTTTAAATTTTTGGTATGATAAATATAATTTATTAACGGTATAAGTTTATTTATTAAAATTAAAAACATCAAAAATTCAAAACAAGTTTCATTATTGAACCTGTGAAAAAAAATAGTAATTCTTTTTATTATTTTTAGTAAATTAAATAAATATATATTGATATTAGAAATATTAAAAATAAAAATTCAAAAAATAAAAAAAAATACAGTACTATTTTTAAATTTTAATCATAATTTCATGTGATTAATTAATTTTCAAAATGCACCTTCTGTCCAAAAAACTATTTTTCGCCGATCAACTGTTACTGTTAATATTTTTATTAATTTAATGACTTAATAATATTTTTTTAAAATAATTTTATTTTTATTAATTTTAAAAATTATCAAATTATATAAATTATAATTTTTTTAATATTTTTCTCCTATTCTGAAAAAAAATCTCTTTGACCTGTCTCTCGTGGTCCGAAAATTGAAGCCAAGTGATGACCGCCCGCCATAACCGTTAGCCATCGTTCTCAAGTGAAGAAGAGATGACGATGATGAGTGCCTGGAAATGCACTTCTTCTTCTTTTGCTTCGCAATTGCGTCGTCTCCTACTTGGTAACTGCCACTCTCTCTTCTTTTCTGTTTCTCCTCCTCGTTTCTTTTCTTCTTTCCAATCCCTATTTTCCTCTTCCTCTTCCTCCCGTTTCAAGAAATCCTGGTATGTCTTTCACAAAATTGATGATGCTTTGGATTTGTTCAATCGCACCTTCTATTGTTGAATACAATCAATTAGTAGGTGCCATTGTTAGAATGAAGCATTATGAACTGCTATTTCTCTGTTGGGACAATTGGAATTACTGGGACTCAGACATGATGCTCATACTTTCAGCATCTCGCTTAATTGTTTCTCTCGCTTGCATCGTACGGGTTGTGGGCTTTCGCTTCTGGGAAAAATGTTGAAGCTGGGCATTCAACCTGATATTATCACATTTGGTACCCTGGTCAATGGGTTGTGCGTTGAAGGTAGAATAGCTGAAGCAGTGGTGTTGTTTGATGAGATTGTCTGCAATGGTTACCAACCTAATTTGATCAGTTATAATATAATAATAAATGGTCTTTGTAAAGCAGGATACACTGGTGGGGCTATTAGATTGTTGAATACCATGAAACAAAGTGGCTGGCTGCCTGACATTGTGACATACAACACAATCATCGACAGTCTTTGTAAGGGCAAGCTTGTACGTGAGGCTTTAAACCTTTTCTTTGAAATGACAAGCAGAGGCATTACGCCAGATGTTGGGACTTGCAATTGCTTTATTTATGCTGTGTGTATTTCGGGTCAGTGGAAGGCGGTTAAAAGATTATTGACTGAAATGGTTGCTAACAATTGCAAATTAAATGTTGTTTCCTATAATATATTGGTTGATGCATTTTGTAAAGAAGGGAGGGTTTCAGAGGCTCATGGCATCGTTGAAGGAATGATTCAACAAGGTGTTGACCCCAATACCATTTCATATAGTACATTGATGGATGGATATTGCTTGCAAGGAAAAATGGATGAGGCTATAAAAGTTTTAAATTTGATGATCACTAAGGTTGTGTACCTAATGTTTATGGTTACAGCATCTTGGCCAATGGATATTGTAAACTTCTAAAAATAGATGAGGCCATAGATCTCTTTCATGAAATGTCTTGAAATGGATTAGTCCCTAACATTGTTATGAATAATGAGCTTCTAAATGCGATGTGCCAACTAGGGAGACTTTCGACTGCACTAGAAATTTTTAAAGAAATGAGTTCTCGTGGCCTGGTTCCAGACGCGATTACTTACTCTACTTTGTTACATGGCTTATGCAAGCATGGTCATGTTCATGAGGCATTGGACATTTTTCGTGTTATCCAGCACAATGGTATAGAACCGTATATAGTCCACTATAATATCTTAATTGATGGCTTGTTTCAAGTTGGGCAACTTAATGTTGCAAGGAAATTATTTTGTGCACTACCGGTCAAAGGGTTACATCCCAGTATTTACACTTGGAGTATCATGATCAAAGGACTTTGTAAAGAAGGGTTACCAAATGAAGCATATGAATTATTTAAGAAAATGGAACTGAATGGCTGCTTGCAAGATAGTTGTTCTTACAATGTAATGATCAAAGGATTTTTTCAAAACAATGATGTGTCAAGGGCAATGCAAATTTTACATGAAATGGTTGATAAAGGATTTTCTGCAGACTCTTCAACTGCAAGAATGCTACTGGATATATTGTGTAGAGATGGAGGAGATCAATCTATTTTCGAGCTGCTTCATAGAAACTGTGAAGATGATCAAAATGTCAACATCAAATGACTTGTTATGCATCAATCTTTGTTTATTAAATTGTATTCTAAAAGTTTTTGTATGCTACAAAGAATTCAGTAACCATAATTAAGTTTTGTCATTTGTTGTGGTGTTGTTACTAGGTTGTAGTGGTTTGCTATTCTTGTTTGCAGAAAATATAAAGTGGAGCCGTTTTACACCTGGTGCTAATTGTTTCATGGTCTTTAAACTAATTCATATGAGGTAATTTCCAGTATTTATTGATTTCAAATTTTATGGACCAAGTTTCAGGATGAGTGTATTGTTTCCTCACCTCTCTATGGCATTGGATTTGCAGTTAATACATGCAGATAGTTCTTAAGTGAAAACTACTCTAATCTCCTGAGTTTCAGAAAGCTTTTCATGTGAATTAAATCTATAGTTAGGCTGGTTGTGCCTTGTAAGTGCATTTATATCATACTTTTCTTTATGTGCCCCTTGCATTGTGATGGATATTGTCTAGTAACTACCTTCACTACGAATTTTACAAATTTTTAGAAGGGATAGTTTGCATTATGACAAGATAAATGGTCCAGGATTGCCTACCCATTAGATTCTCTTCTACAAATTATATTTTCTTCCTAAATTGTAAGTGGGAAATGATTAATAAATTTAAGTGAATCTGTGGAAATGATTTCATGAAGTTTACAAAGGAAACAAAGGATTTGCATGTTAACAGTATATTTGATTTAGCTAGTAAATTATAGTAAAAAAAAATGCTCCAAATAACTTAAAAACTGCATTGTTGTAAAGGACTGACAATATGCTTGACAGGGTATCTAAGCACTGTACATATCCTTACTGCAGATTGTCATGAACATTCTTGGAATAATTTTAATCAATTCATCTGGGAGACTTGCCTGATCATTCTATGTATACATAATTTCTTGGATGTGGCAGGTTGGAGTTGGCCTGATGCTATTGCAACAGCTCGGGAAAGAGTGCAATGGCATATTCTTGTAGCCGCATTTTTGTTGAAGCTGGTAAATTTAGTTCTTCTATTGGTTCCTATAATCATATCAGTAGCAGTGACTTTCTTGTAACCAATACAATAAAATTTTAGTGGTATTAGAAAAAGTGACAATAGAACTTCTTGTTTGCAAAAGGTTTATCAGGTACCCCTGGCCTTCAAGTTGCAGCTATTGTACAGGTACCTTCCTTTTCCAACTTTTAGTAAATGTCAAATTTTGCTTCATGCATATCTGAGCCACTTCAATTTATATATAT